TAGTGTTAGTGCTTAACTTCAACCAATCCACAAAATTGCACCACCTTCCACCATTGGCTTCAGTAAATCATTGCCCCATAACAGATACAGTTGAACTCTATTAGTCACGGCTTGGATGCTCACTGATGTACAATCTCATACTAGAACGAAACGACCATCCAATGTTTTCAGGTTTTCCATGTTGATCTAACTTACATCGATTCATCAATTCAATTATTAAATCAATATTATTTTCTACTTAAAATTTTCATTGTTAATCTCATTGACTTAATGCATTTTTGACACTATTGATCATATCATTTTAATCAACTCTTGAAATATTGTACTACATAAGGTTTTATACAAGTCAGATTGTTCATATTTCTATTTGAGTATCACATATAGCCACTAAATAGCTGGGTGACACGAGATCGAATCCGCCAGGGAGCACCAGTTCCCTCAAGATTACAGGTACACCTTGCTGACGAGTGTCAAGTAGCACGAAACCCGGGTCCAGGGTTTCCTGTTGACTACCTCCAACCACCATCTAAATCTCAATATATAGTGCCCGCAGTGTCGAGTCACCTAGACTGGTGGCCACATTGCAACATGATCGATAGCATTCGATCCGCACTAATAAGGACTAGACACGCACGACATTGATCACCACCCAGTGATCAATCAATTGTGAGCCATTAAATATATTATATGGTTTATTAATGAATTTTCTTATGATTTGGCGTTTAATGATAGACATAAGGTTACCAACCAAATATATATATATATATATATATATATATATTCCTGTAGTTTAATTAATATAATGAATCAGTTGTTATAGTACTTATGATTAAAATGAAAGTAATATCTAACAGTATAATTAATATCATTTAATAAATACGAAACAATTTATTATATTGTCTTATATTCATATAACAATAATAGTGAATGGTGATAAATAAACTTCACTTGATCAGCTAATCATTTAGTCAAAAGAATTTGTGTTGTCAACCTGAGTTTTTTTTTCATATTTGACTTGGTTACAAATGTGAGACTAGAAAATCTTGTTACAAAACGGATCAATTAATCTAGACTAGGTAAATTATGATTAGCCATGGAATTCAGAACACTTGATAGAGTTAATGTTCACTTCTAGATTTGAATATAATATTTTTCATTATAAACAAAAACATGTTTCCCATTGTATTATGAGTTTAAATATCCGTTAAAGTTTCTGAGTATGATGTTTATTCAATTATTAATGTAGGCTTGGATTATTCCGTTATTGATAATCAGGACTGAATTTGGATCAGTCTTTTTTTTTTACATATGTGTGTCATGTGAAGACTCTCTCTCGACATGATCATCTTATTATAAACTATTTAGGAAAGACAGATTGTGGTTATCTGTATTTAGTAGCTAGGTGGATAAAGAGTTAAGTGTCTAAACTGAACGGTATTGTATTCGAGTCCCAATATATCCACTTGACATGTCCTGAATAGGATGAAACGCATATCTTGAATTCCACTCCCAGCCATATTCCACCTATCCTACATACAAATGTGAAATAATGGCTATATCAGGTGAATCTGGTCAAGATACACATATCGGAACTGAGATTGGTCAAACTCTAGTCAAAGTATCACTAAAGAATTCATGAGAACTCATCAACTTTTCTTAATAAGTACTTCATATTTAATCTGAGCATAACTAGCTTCGTGATTTCATAATTGTTGAATTATAATTCGAAAGCATTCATAGTTAAATATTAACAATCTATTCATATCCTTAACTTTTAAAAATTATTAAACATAGTGAATATATTCTCAAAGTTGAGTTCACGAGATAATCTAAGCTAGACCATCATTGAAAACCGGGAAGCATTGGATAGCCGTTTCGTTCCGGTATGGGACTTCTGAGCAGTACATATCCACAATCCCACACACACCAATCGAACCCATACCCCTTAGTCTTATGAGTGAACGTTTAACCTCTAGATCACTGAGCTGGTGCTTAATAGTGTTTATGCCTAACTTTAATTGATCCATGATATTGCGCAACCCTACATCCATTGTCTGAGATGAATAACTGTCTCACTGCACTGGTCACAGCTTCATATATTTGATAGATGAGGGAATAGTTCAAAAAAGAAAAAAGTAATTGTCTGTAGACTTCTAGGAATGAACAGAATTTCTGATGAATTGCCATGATTTTGTTTCATAGTGACTTTCATACATATAAAATGCCTTTCATTTATTGAATGGTTATATTAAACATTGATAATATAAAATATTATCAGTAATACCTTAGAAAACTTCTGTAGAATATTCATTCTTGAAATAAGGAACTTTATTCAATTTAAATGTCTGTAATGATATATTCACTATGTTGGGAATTGAAAGCAGATATGAAAAGGATGAATAACAACTGGAAAGGCTTACCTAAGACAAGGTTGGATGGAGAGTTCTAGTGGTTGGTCTATACTTCTCCACGAAGGGTAACAGGCATAAGTTAGTAATGATAAATTATCTCGTTGATTAGATACATAGACGAGTTTTGTTTTTGTGTGTTCAGATCGTTCCTTAATTTATATCTATGTAATCAAATGAGTTTAAACTAAAACAGTAAACCCTCAATGATACTGAAAAACAGTTCATATTATATCATCATATGACTGGATTGGAGGAAAAATGAAATAGTAGATTCCGATTTATTAATTTGAAGGTGTCATTCACACCATAGAGCCTAATAGTTTTGCTTTTGATTCAATTTGTAACCAGTGATGCGATGAAAATTACCTTCATGTGTTATCATTATGATTAGTTTTATCACTATACTCATATAGATGCGTAGGTTAATTTATTTGAAGGGATTTGTATAGAATGCTTTAGGTTACCTTTGTCATATTGTTCTTAGTTGTAGTACCAATTTTGGATTCGAAACTATAGTGAATAACTGTTCAGTGCTCACTAGTTTTCAGCAGTACTTCAACTCAGATCATTCTTCCCACTAATTCACTAGTATTTGCATGTATTTGTGTGTATATGTCTTGTTTTTGCTGTCAAAACTTGTTTTGTTCAAGGTGCAAATATGGAAGAATAGTTAGTTACAAGAAGATCTATCCATTATCCCATGAATAACTGAAGGAATTAATTTTGAAGTGTTCAACCTATTATCAATGTAACTATACGGAATTATTTGACAACGGAAATGTTATAAATGGATATATTCTAGATTATATATTGAATGACTGAAGAAAATTATTTAAAAACTTTGTTTCGACTTATGTTTCTTTCAGATAGATACATTTACAATACTGAAAAGAACAATACCTCCAGTATTCAATCAATGATCCGTTATAGTAGGCTGCAATGAAATAACCTAATGGTTTTGAAATTTTTCTAAAACAGTGTGCCTCCACGATCCCGCCTCACGAGATTCGAACCTATTACTCTATTGATTTGTAAGAATTCCTGTTTTCCGTTACTGAAATTGAGAATTGGAAATATTCATCCTGAACAGATTACCACATTATTGATATATAATCACAAGTTTCTAATAAAGTTGAACAGTAGCTAGAAATGAAGTCCGGACTTCAGATATCAATTTATTTCAGATTATTGATCAAGATCATGAACCGATTGATGTTACAACACCATCAAAAACCTGAGAGCACTGGATGGCCGTTTCGTCCTATAATGGGATTGTTTGAGGTTAGACATTAACACTGTTGGATGCCGGTTCAGTGGCCTAGTAGGTTGGGCGTTCACGCGCGAGACCGTAAGCCCTGGGTTTGAGTCCCGCGAGTGGGATCATGGATGCGCACTGCTGAAGAGCCCCAGAACAAGGTGAAACGGTAGCCCAATGCTTGCAGGTGTTCAATAGTGGTTTAATATCAATCGATTCATGATCTCAACCAATAACTTAATAATCTTCATAACCCTATACTGATTATTTAAGATTCTTCATCTGGATGAAACTCCACCTGTAGCTCTTCTGGAGTTACTGCCGGTCCCAAGCCCGGGTAAAGGAGGAGGGTTGGGCATGGGGTTAGCGTTCCCATCCCGTAAAAAACTAACTCGCTAAAAAAACACTTACCAGAAAAAAAAATTCAAACCATTTTAACTCTGTATCTACATCCTAGATCTTATGTTCAAATTGAGACTCAAACCCAATAACTTTATTTCTATTCATTTTAAAGATGCGACAAACATATCAAAAATAAAACTCAATAATTAGTGAAATAGTGTTTTATTACCGTTTGTTCAATAACACAAACAAATTTTTTTAATTTTTATATAACATATTTGCATCACAATATAAAGTTTGTATAATATTGACTCTTTCCGCTGAGTATATGGATAATAATAATAATAATAATAACTATGATAGTAACAGTGATCATGAATAAGATTGATGAAGAAATGAAACCCCCCCTCAATAATTCCAATGAATAATGTTTTAAAAGAGGAAAAAAGAAATTACTCAATTCACATTAGCAACAAATACAAAGAAAGAAACAGAGAGAAGGGGAGGGGAGGGGGAGGAGAGAAAAAACTTTTTTTGTGAAACAATCTATACAAACATTGAATAATCAAATATGTATGTCTATATATGGTAGAATAAAATATTATATACATGATAGAACATAAATAAATTTGGAATTTTTCGTGTTGCGATGTATAATAAATATCACTTATTATTATTATGATTTTAATTTTAAAAATAAAAGTCACCTATTTATCAAGATTATAAAAGTGATAGGATACTACTATTATGTTGAATTCAGTAGTATTCACTTATTCATTTGTAATATGTGTATATATATATATAAGCACTACGTGGTCAAATAGATCCCATTGGTTTATGATGATTATTATTCGTTTCTACACAGACAACATCAAAATAAATTAGTTTTAATTGAGGAAAAACAAGAATTTTTCAACTTATACAAAATAAATGAAAATTATATTGATTTGTAAGAAAATGAATAGATATAGCACTGTACTACGACTATTAATCAACACCATCATCATCATCATCATAATCGTCGTTGTCGTCACCATCATCATCAATTGTCTGAATCCAAGGAAAAAGAACATCGGAATTTTAATCCATTAGACTTGAATTCTTTCTATTAAACAATTGATGATATCATGTGTGTGTGTGTGAATGTACGTTTCACATTTATTGTTTCGCCTAATTTCCATTTATTTATTTATTTTTAGTATTCATGGATCGAAATATTCGATTTTGTTGTTGTTGCTTTGTGTTGCTGATTTCTAAATTTCCATAAATTTTGTTTTGATTCCATTGGATTTTAATGGAAACAATGATTACACTTATAAAGATCATCAATTGAATAGTTAGTTTTGGTAGAGACACACCTCAATTAAATTGAACTATGTTCATGTATATCTATATATAAAGGATTGAAATGCAAACTAGTGGTCATTAAGTAATCTATTCTGTATATCCATCACTCATTCACCCTCTCTCTCTCTCTATCCCTCTCTCTTTTCAATCTTCTCACTCTACAAAGTTCTCCATTGTAAATAATAAACAAAATACGAATTATACGTTGTTTTTTTTTGTTTTTTTTTAAAATCCGCCCTGTTTCTATACCAATTATTCAAATATTTTTGTTTCTTCTTTCATATGCTCAAAATTCTAATTGAATATAAAGTTTAGTCTATTGTCATTTTATTGAATGATGAAATTTCATTTTGTAGAAAGAACGAAAGAAAGAAAACAAAAACAAAAATTAGTTATGTAACAGGATCATATTTAGATCATGTTAATGATAATCATTATGGATGGTGATGATGATGATGATAGTGAAAGAGCAAAATATTGATGATCTTACTAAATAAGTTAAAATGTACATCATTTCATTTATCATTCATTATTAGTATACAATTCATTGATATGGATAGTAGTATATTCGATATGGGAGCATGTACATATTACATAAGGGATAATTCTACAATTCACAACCAATCAATCAATCAATCAAGGGATATAATTTTCATGGAAATACTCTTAAATCAGAATGATTTGATTGATTTTGTTGTTGATGTTTTATAGTATCCATTGTTTGATTTATATGATAATTACTTAAATATAATCCATTTTCAATAGGTCCTCTTGAATGAGGTGAAATGGATGAATCTAATGAATCAGTACAAAGTTTTAATTTATAACGATTTAATAAATCTGTACCATGAATTGATCGTTCTGATGATGAGGTTGATGATGATATGATCGTTGAATGATTTATAGAATCAATTAAATTATTATTAATACTACGATTATTACTATTATTATTATTATTATCAATGGGATCAGATTCGATTTTATTCTTTTGATTATAATAGGAATGTGTGATACTAGCACCGCTACTACTACTACTACTGCTATTACTACTATTACTACTATTACAACTACCACCGACTATGCCATTGTTATTATTAGTATTATTATTACATCCCAGTCGTGTGATTGGTTGACAATTATTATATAGTGAAGCAGAATTAAAATTTATCGACCCACTTCCATCCAATTGATTTGGTGTGGATCGTAATTGTGCATGCCATTGTATTAATGCGTCTGTCGGTGAATGATGATTATGATGATGATGATGATGAACGATATTTGATGGTTTCATATGTAATGATTCACATTTTGTATTATTACTAGTATTCTGATCATTATTCGTTGAATGATTATAAACTAATTCAGTAATATAATTAGATTTTTGATATCTTGAATATTTTTCATTCATTTGATTATTCATTAAATTAGATGTATGTTGTGTATAAGGATCATTTGTGAAATTCATTGAATTCATTGGTTGGGATTGATGTTTCTGAATATATTGTTGTTGTAAGTGATCAATATGATGAGGGTGTATTTGTGTTGGATGAGGTGAATTAAGAGAGAAATGATTGGAATGTCTATTATCATCATTATTATTATTATTAGTTAGACCTCCAAATGTAGCATGAAATGCTTTTGTCACATCAGTAAACTGTCCAGTTTCATCAGAACTATCAACTTCAATTCTTGACATATCTTTATGTTTTATTTCATTCAAAATATTATTATTAGTAGTAGTAGTATTGTTACTATTAATATTATTATCTGAGAAATAACCAGTTAAATATGGATTACACATTGAATTTGGTGAATTCGGTGTAATTGTATGTGAACCACGTGTAGTACATGCAAAATGATTAGCAGCAACAGCTGCTGCTGCTGCTGCGGCACCAAATCTATGTAAAGGTGTTTTCATTAAATAATCCACTGGTAAATCAGATAATTCTGAATAGAAACCAAATTTATGCTTTTTTGTTTTTTGTGAAACTTTACGATTACGTGTTTGAATTCCATCTTTTTTCATTGAAATAGGTCGTTGAATCTTAAATAAATAATGAAGAAAAATAACAAAACAGAAAATGTAAATCTAGAAAAGTATTCATTAGAATTCAGGTTCTAATGGAATTCATTCATTGCATGAAATCTTATTTCTATCTTCATCTAAATCACTAAAATGATCTACTTTCATAAGTATCTATCCATTTATATATTAATATTGATGAAATTGTAAAATAGTTCATAGATTCCCAGTTGAATTGTTTAATTCTGTATTTTATGATACAGTAGATTTCAATAGTCGAAATCATGAGTCAATTGAAGCTAGACCACAATGGAAAACCTGAAAGCACTGGACGACTGATTCTTCCCATTACATGACTCCTCAGCAGTGCTCATCCACGAACCCACCTTAAGAGATTCGAACACAAGACCTATCGGTCTCGCACGTAAGCGCTTAACCATTAGACCACTGAGCTAGCCGGTATCCAAAGGTGTTAATGTCTAACTTCAACTAATCCACGAAATTGTGCCACCGTACATCATAGTCATCAGTGAGTTACTATCTCACAACAGACCTGGTTGAGCTCCACTGGTAACAGCTTCTCACAAGAGCTCCAGGAAATGCTTCTTGAAGTCAGTCACTAGTGAGCAGATGATTATTATCAGAAGGGGTTTTGTGGAGATTTTAGACATTTCAGTGGTTTAAATCATGTGTTAATTGAACTTAGACCACCACAGTAGATTATTCAGTGAAGAAAAAAGTTCGAATTGTCACTTTACGTATAACTCCGCCTATAGTTCATATAAAGTTACTGTTGGTCCCAAGCCTAATTAAAGGAGGAGGTTTGAACATGAGGTCGGCAACCCTATCTCGTAGTAAAAAACACCAACCAGGTTAAGCACTGTCAATTATTATTAGAAATTTAATATCACATTTACGTAATAAGCCTTAAACATAACTGTAGAGATTGTTTCATTTGTTATCCATGATTTGTCAAAGGAATTATATTTACCTGGAATAATCTAATTACGTAATGTAAATTATCCTTATTGTTATTTGTTACTCTTATCATGTCCGAGTGATCGATGAACTTACAAACTAGATAGTTTGAACCGTAATTGTTAAATTAACCACAAACTGACTATAGTTAAAGAACCGTTAAAAACCAACAAATACTGGTCAGGTAATTTCTTCTTGTTATGGGACTAATTTCTCAGTAGTTCACATTCACAACTTTGTTAGGATTGTACTCCTGAGGAACCCAATCCTAGAGTAAGACGTTCAACCAAAACACTCTTGGTTTTAGGTAAATTTATAAATGAAGTTATTTTATGATATAAAACTATGATGTGCGCTACTGATTTCGATAGATATAAATAATATGTATCATCAGTCGAGAGTGAAATGTGTGGAGGCAGAAGGTTAAGAAGATCAAAGAAATAAGAACAAGCACAAAGAATGCTTAGTATCGAAACGAAAGAACAATGAATTCTAAGACGATTGACTGATATTTTATACACATTGTTCCCTTTATCATTTTGAAAAGATCAAGATCAATGAATGTAGCAGAATAGCACGAATCCATTCTTATTTCGTAGGTTCCTGTCAGCTGCTTACAATCTGTGGTATTTAAAATTATAACTATATCATGGGTTTAAATTACTTAAATGGAAGGGTTTAGTTGGGATTTATATTGAAGACACATTAGTATAGTATAGTGAGGATGTAAATAAATTTACTAGACTCAATATTGAAGATATACACCTTATCTAAAAGAAAATTCTACAACATTGATTGTGACAACAGTTCAAACGGCTAGAAACAAGTGATTACATAATGTGAGTAAACATTGATAGGAACATAGTGAGTAGAGCTAAGTTGATAAAACAAGATTATTAATTTGAAAGATAGAAACAGTGAAGTTTGAGACAATTGAGTGACATTTTGCAAATGAATTACTCACTGTATGGTTCTTTGAATTTACTAAAATGTTCTGTAAGTTTATGTTCAAATATCTTCGATCATTTCCATTGATGTTCTCATTCACTACAAAACTACCAATTCAACAATCTACATAACCTGTTATTATCCAGAATATAATCAACTTATTTAATAGTGATGTAATTAATTGCACTCAACCAAACTCTACTATATAAGAAATGAATGTTTATTTATCAATGAATTCTTATAGACATGAATGAGTTGATATTGATTCTTTCTTCTCTTTCTCTTTTTCTCTCTGATGAAACATCGGTCTTATAAAGTAATCATAAAGAAATATCTGAACATGATAAGTTCTTTTCGTTTTTTTTGTCTTTTTTCTCTTTCTTTTTTAGAAAACCGGAAAACGATGTCTTTCTATGCGTATCCTAGGAATATGTTCAATAGTTAAAAATTGTCATAGGATAGTTGATGATTTAATTTCTCCCCTTTCAGTCCCTTTTTCTCGTTGTTTTTTTTTTTGTTGTTGTTGCTGAATAAAATGAATGTAAAATAATCATCAAAGATAGAAAAAAAACTTGTTTTTCTTCTGTAAATAGAATTGAAATACCGGAATAAATTTATTGACTCATTCTTATACTTTGACTAACTAAATCTATCTACTTATATATACCGTTTACATAAATGGAAAAAGGGGAACTTTGTAACTGTATCTTATATGAATATATCTTATTATTATTTTTTGTGTGTGTAGTGAGTCTATTCATATTTAAGTTAACGAAATAAGGATTTTGGCGCCATATCTTGTCATTAACCCCAATATCTTTAAAACATGACAACCATAGACAAGAGAATCAGTACTCATAATAGTAATAGTATTAATAATAATAATAATAATAACAATAAAATAAACCCACAATTTCAACAAAAGATGAAAATGAGATTAACATTCACTATATCAATCTGTTGACACATTAACAAAATTATAATAATAATATATCTATATACCCGTTTTTAATTTGTCTCCGATTAATTTTATTCAATCAGTGACAAACAGAGAGAGGGAGGGGGAAGAGATAAAGGGGTGGAGAGACAAATCAAACAAGGGAAAATATGTTTACTTTTTTTAAAAAATATTTTTTTTTCAAAAAAAAAGAAAAGAAAATACTACTCTCGAACGATCAAACAGTGAAACATATGCCAAAGTGTTGAAGTGATTTGTTTATTGTTGTTTACTCATTGAAAGAAAAAAAAGTTTATTATTTTGTTTTTTATAGAGAAAAACATTCCATTCTGAATATTGTGATAAGCGAAACAATGATGAGAACAAAATAAACAACAAAAAAAGAAAAGAAAATAAGAAATAAATATATCGACATTTTTATTCATTTAATAATAAATGACTGATTCATAAATATCCATTAGGTTTTATTCTATGAAAACTAAACTTCACCTAAATTATTCACTTGAGCTACCTGACCTTCCTCTTCATCATTTTAAATATCCCTTTAAAATAAATTTTATAATTGTATTAAATGAGTAGATAATGATTATTTTTTGATTGAGATCATGAATTGATTGATGTTAGATAACCATTGAAAACCTTCAAGCACTAAACGGTCGTTTTGTCCCAGTGTACGACTCCTTAGTTGTGCACATCCACGATCCCGCACACACCAATTGAACCTAGGACCTTTGGTCTCTTACGCGAACGCTTAACCTGTAGACCATTTAGTCGGCATCCAAAGGTATTAATGTCTAGCCTCAACCAATCTACAAAATTGTGCGACCATCTTCTATTGTATTGGGGTAGATAGCTGTCTGTATCCGACACGGATTAGCTCCACTGGTCACGGATTCTCACTAGAACTCCGAGGATTCCCTCTCAAAGCTAGTCACTAGTGAGCACATAGTAATTATCAGTATGGGGGTTGTGGAGATTATTAAGTTTTTGATTGGGATCATAAATCGATTGGTGTTAGATCACCGTTGAAAATATTGTTTAGTATTTGTGTTTAAATTAATTGTAATACAATGAGTTCATGATCTCAATCAATAACGTAATAATCTCCACAACCCTATACAGATAATAATTATTCAATTAAAAATAAACCTTGGAAGATTAGTTTATTTAACAGTTGAATTTATAAGTCAATTGAAGCGAGAACATCATGGAAAATTTGAAAGCACTGGATGGCTGTTTTGTCCTAGTATGGGACTCCTCAGTAAAAACATTTTTTAAGAAGTGAATTAATTTTCAGAGAAGATAGAGATGAGTTTTGTGAAAGTTTTGGTAGGTAACAACAGTGATGATAACTAGTTTTTTTCATTAAATTACAAACTGACTCAAACTAAAAAAACATTTTGGCTATCATTAGATTTTAACAGTTAAACTCATGAATCGATCAAAGCTATAATTCAGCTGTTAAAATTACTATAATCTCCACAAAATCCCCATTCTGATAATAATCATGTGCTTAATGCTGACTAGCCTCAAGGTTGATTCCCTAGAGTTTTAATTAGAGAACATGTTCAGTGGAGTTGAATCTGTGTCAGGTGTGAAACAGTCATCTACCTCAGACAATGAATGAAGGGTTGTACAAGATCCTGGATCGATTAAAGTTAGACATTAACACCATTAGGCCTAAACGTTTAGTTTTCGCGCACGAAACTAAAGCTCATGGGTTCGATTGCCGTGTGCGGGATGGTGGATTTGTTTAAATAAAAATTAACTTAACTATGATAGACCCTGTAGAAAAAATAGTTGACTTTCATGAAATTACTAAAAACTTTTTACGTAATCTTTGTCTAAAAAAGTTTATTTTCAGATATTTATTCCTTTTGAATGTAATGAAAATAGTTAACCATAACCATTCTAGATTGATAAAATAGTCTGGTCTCATTTCAAATAAATTATGTAATCGATATTGTCTTAAATCACAAGTGTTCTAAGCAAAGATGGATAGTAGTTAACAATGGAATCTATAACATGCGTCTCATCCTATTTACGGCTCTTCAGTTGAGTGTACTTACATTCCAGATTTGATCTTCATTTCAGGTCTCGAACCCACTACCGTTCACTTCGTTATCCATTTAGCTAC